GTGATGTTCTTGTTGAAGAAATGCGTCAAAAATTATAAATGAGTTGTTATCAAAAGGAACAAGAATAACAAGGTGAATAATGGGGGATTTATGGGATTATGGAGCAGAGATTTAATATAATGAGCAGTAAAATGACACACCTTATAAGGATCGACACTTTATGTTCTCTTTAGAACATGTTGAGTTGTGTATTAACAATACTCTGCATTCACTCTTCCCAAACGCTCTTTATAGCATTTAATTCATACTTAGACGGCCCGGTGGTCGACTAGTTAGCGAGTCGGCCCCACAGTGCAGAGGTGCAGGGTTCAATTCCTGCTCCAGCCTTCCTGTGTGGAGTTTGCATGTTCTCCCAGCGCCTGCGTGGGTTTTCTCTGAGTATTCCGGTTTCCTCCCACATTCCAAAAACATGCATGGCAGGCTAGTTGAACACTTCAAATTGTTCCTAGGTGTGATGTAAGTGTGAGAGCGAATGGTTTTTCGTCTCTGTGCCCTGTGATTGGCTGGCAACCAGTTAAAGGTGTACCCTGCCTGCTGCCCAAAGACGGCTGGGATAGGTTCTAGCACGCCCCACGACCCTCATGAGGACAAGCGGATCCGAAAATGGATGGATGTCATATGTCATATTTAAACCGATATTTTTTTTTTCTGGACTCAGTCACACCGGACAATTTTCAGTCAGTGCATCTTAGAAAGGGTTCTGTCAGTCGTCATCTGTATTTGGCCTTTGGCCATAATCACATTTAAAATTATTTCACACCACTCAAAAATATTCAAAATTTGATAGTTTGACCATTTTTTGAGTACCGTATTTTTCGGATTATACGTCGCTCCCGATTATAAATCGCACCAGCCACAAAATGCATAATTAAGAAGGAAAAAACATATATAAGTCGCATTTTTGGGGGAAATTTATTTGATAAAATCCAACACCAAAAACATACATGTCATCTTGAAAGGCAATTTAAAATAAAAATAAAATAGAGAACAACAGGCTGAATAAGTGTGGGTATACTAACGTTACATGACTGACATGCCTGGTAATGTCAGTAACGACGTAAAATATTAAGAGTTATTCAGATAACTCTAGCATAAAAAACATGCTAACAAGTTTACCAAACTATCAGTTTCACTCCAAATCACTAAATCCAATGAAATCTTCATCCTCTGTGTCACTTTTAAACAACTCCCCCAACTCGGGAGGTAGACGATGCGCCACTTCCTCTTCTACGTCACTTACGTCGGACTCATCGTCGATTTATCAACACAGGCCGGGAGCGCCCTCTTGTGGTTTAATGTGAAAATAACATGTGAAATGACATAATCATGTGTTAATAATTTCACACATAAGTCGCTCCAGAGTATAAGTCCCACCCCCGGCCAAATTATGAAAAAAACTGCGACTTATAGTCCGGAAAATACGGTAATTTTAAATGTTAATACATGAAACAAATTAGTCACTGATGGTACAGTGGTACACTCGCCTGATGATATTGGTATTGAAAACCAAATTTGTCATTGACATAAAAAATGTAGTCCACAAAAAATTGATTTGCCATCGGTCAAACACAGTTTCTGAAAGTGAGCCTGTCAGTTTAGCCAATTAGAATCTCTGAGAAAGCTACCCTTGAAAAAGACACACTAAAAACAAAGACACATCAGTGGAAAAGGGCAATCCTTTGCATGGACTGACAGTGAACAAGGAGGTGCTTGGAGGTACACCATAAAGTTAACAGTTCACCCCGAGTCTTCCTCAAACACTCAATTTTTTTGTCCTATAATAGATACTCTCCTCATGTTTGTCCACACGGGCTTGAGTGAAACCCAACTCGGGGCCAGAGTTCACATCCTGCGGGTCAAAACGTCTTCACTGCTGATTTGTTTGGGGGCTCGGTCGCCACGGCTCTGAAAGCTCCTCAGTCAAGTAGCCAAAACTCTTCACCACAATTTAGTGATGGAGGTGGCCAAATACATTTTAATGCTCAGTATAGGTTGTTACGTCTTTACTGTCACCCAGCAGTGACAGATTTTTTTTCTTCGGATTGGTGTTGCTCTCTTTCTGTATACGAATACTTTGATGAGAATCATTTGGAACAACCGCTGTTCCTTATAGTGAATTAAAATGACTAAAGTTACCTTCCTGTCTAGGGTCTGTCAGTATTATTGTATTCTTGACTGTATCAGAAGAATATTGCAGGGCTTAAGATCAGAGGTTCCTTTGGTCAAAAACAGTTGTTCAGCAGTTTAACATGAAGTGTGTGTGTTGTGTCTAAGTGTGTTCCGGAGCTTCTGTTGGTCACGGTTAATGACCATCTGACTTTGGCCTTGAAGTCTTTCACTGGGCGAGTACAGCGGGAGGCAGAGTCAGGAAGGGGGAGGGAGCAGAAAGCCTATTCACTTGGAGAGGGACAGAGGAGGGGAAAGGGAACAGGCAGAACAGAAGATAGATCTACAGTGGGAAAAAGTGTGTGTGTGTGTGTGTGTGTGTGCGTGTGCGTGTGTGAGTGTGTACGTGTTGGAGAGTTTAAAAAGAGGGAGGGCCAGAGAGAAAGATGTGTGCCGCAGGGTTAGTGAAGGATGATAATTCACCGTTAAGCCTCCTAGAAAGACCAGCTGGCCCCTCTGGAGTCAGATGTCAGCCTCCGCAGCCAGGGCTTGTTCTCTATGTCCGTGTGTGTGTGTGTGTGTGTGTGTGTGTGTGTGTGTGTGTGTGTGTGTGTGTGTGTGTGTGTGTCTGCACGTACAAGTGTGTTGGCAGTCATGCATGTATGTACATCTAAGTGTATGTGTTCTGTTGTCAGTGGCAGCGTTTGACTGCTGGAAGGAAAACACCTGCATGGGGAGCTGTAGATTGTATCAGTCTAAGCTGCCGGCTGCCTATCTCAGTGAGAGTGCGATTGGTCAGAATACACAAACACACATGCGTGCACACATGTACACACTCACCATCTGCTTCGTTAGTTTGGGCTATTGTTGGGAGCCATTTGGGTTGTGTGTTGAGGTTTGGCTTTGTGCTGATCTTGACCATCAGTTAGCCAGCTGGCCTGACTTTGCTTTTTCACTTGATTGGAACAAAAAGCACTGTAGGACACCAACCAAGCAAGAGACTAAACACCCATGTTAACTAGTTTGCAAACTAACGAACACATCACATCATTTTTCACACAGCCTCATCAAAAAAAAGAAAAAAAACCCGATGTGCTTTATAAGGCATATTCTACAAAGACTGAACACACACACACTTTATCCTTTATTGCTCCTTGGGCTGCGCTAATCTATACTAGCCAGGTCATGCTGTGCTCCCTATTCAATTGGTTGAATTATTCAGCATTGTCTGTGTGTGTGTGTGTGTGTGTGTGTGTGTGTGTGCGTGCACTCACACATGTGCACCCATGTAAGCATGGTTACAGCTGGCTTTGGTGCTTTCGTTAATCGAGGGGTGGCCAGTCTGCATGAATGCTTGTATTGTTGGGTCATGTGTATTCAGAGCCACGGCGTGTTATTGGGAGTGCCTGATTTTGTGTGTGTGTGTGTGTGTGTGTGTGTGTGTGTGTGTGTGTGTGTGTGTGTGTGTGTGTGTGTGTGTGTGTGTGTGTGTGTGTGTGTGCGCGACTCGAGAGAAGTATGATGATCCCAGCTCCACAGTGTGAGGCTGCATGTCACAGGGTCACTGGATCAGTAATGCCAAATTGTGCCACTCAGTGTCATCTGAACTGCGATTGTGACTAAAGAAAAACTAAATAAACTTGCCATATATTTTGGACCATAAAACATACTTAAAGTCCTTAAATTTTCTCAGAAAATTGACAGTGCACCTTTCATCCGGCCCACCTTTTGTATGGATGGATAACAGCTCTTTAATTTCTTATCTTTCATTCAAATTCCTTCCGATTAAATTCCACATGTAATTGCTAGCAGGTTTCCATGTTTTCGTTATCCCATAGCAAGAACTACTTCTTGCTTGCGTGCCGAAGAATCATGATAAATGTCCTATTAGCTTAATGCTGCGGTCAGACCTAGTGCGTGCTAAACATTTCTGGCAGCGCGTTTCCAATTTTACAATGTGGGACAATATCATTGCGGTCTGAGTGGCAGAGCAGTAAACAAGGTAAACAAAAAGTGACATTTGTTACTGTTTACCCTCACATTGATGTTCGCGTTGTCATTCTCATCCACAGCAGCATCAAATCGCTACCAGGCATCTGTGCTTTCGTCATACGGAAGCTAAAGTACTTCTTGCGTCTGTGTCTCAGAATCATAGGAAACGTAGTGCGTACTGGTTGGTCAGATCAAACGCACGTTTGCATTGATATGATGTGGGACCGTGAAATAAACGACAACAGCCATTTTCCAATATCCGCCGGGGCCGAGAACAAAGGTTGGATAATGATGAGTGCAGGCTCCAGCACGCCCGCGACCCCTGTGAGGATAAGCGGATTAGAAAATAGATGGATGGATGGATATGAATGAGCGCTTGACTTGCTTACAGCTGGTAACCAAGGTAGCATTTAGCATTAGCCAAAGTAATAACAAAACTGCTGGTCACCGGTTAATTACTGGTGTTTCAAAATTTTTTTTTCGTCTGTTGGAGGATCCCCTCTTCTTCTCCCTCTCCCCCTCGTGTAGTTGCACGGCAAACAAACGCAAGTAAGACACGTGTCGCTACCCGATATTTTGTGTCTGGTCTGAACCTAGCATAATTGCGCTAAATCTATCAAATAAACATACCGTACAATTAGAATAAACGATTTAACATACAATATGCCGCAATCCTTCTGGGGATGAAGCGATTCATATAATGGATGAATGGATGGATATTCAACATAAAATGTTTCACAAAGATAATACGTCACATAAGCTGGTGCGCCTTATGTATCAAAATGCTTTGAAACAGACTCGTTGTGGTGCGCCTAATAGTCTGGAAAATTCAGTAGTTGTGCGTGTCTGTGTACATACAGTCCTGCAGGGGAAATAATTCCTGTTTTGTCTTTGCTTTCTAGGTCGAAATGAGCTTATAGCCAGATACATCAAACTCCGCACAGGAAAAACGCGGACAAGAAAACAGGTACGCATGAAGGAGGGTGTTGGAATCCAGTCAGCATGTTTTTTTTTTTTTTTATCACTTCATTGTCCCATATGTACGTGATAATACACAGTTTTGCCCATCAAGACAAAATAAATGTTGTTGGTTTCCCTATACTTAACGGTATGTTATATCTGCAGTACGGTATATGAGAGCAACTACTACAAAGTAAGAATACCTCAGTCCTTGGTCCGATGTTCCATCTCTGCTCACTCAATTGATGCATGTAGATGGATCTAGTCTGTTGTCTGGGGACTAGTGTGTTTGCGTGAGTGCGTGGAAAGAGTCCTTTCATAACCATGGTAACCCACTGTTGGTTGTTTCCTCCGCTCTTTCTGTCATCTCCTCTTCTCTCTTCTACTCTTTTGCATTGGCTTGTATTCTACTGTACTCTCCACTATTTGTCTTACAGGTTTCCAGTCATATCCAGGTTTTAGCCAGAAGGAAATCAAGGGAATTCCAGTCCAAGATAAAGGTAGGATCAGATAAAGGAAATTATGGTCCAGAATAAATGGAGTGTGGTGCTAATGTTACCATGTTAGGAGTACCCGATAACAACTTCTGACTAGTGAAGACACAGCAACTACCCTGCTGAAAGAGCAAGAACCAACTACAGTGATACCTCAGCTCACGAACATAATTGGTTCCCTGAAAGTGTGTGTAAGGCGAAAAGTTCGTCTTCCGAACATTTATTTCCCATAAGAAACCATTAAAATGAGAATAATCCATTCCCGTTCCCCATAAAACATAATTTTCTACTAAATAAGCCTTAAAACTACACAAAAATATACCTTATTTTATGTATAATAAATGTGCTATTGTATTATAATTAAAGAAATGAACTGTACTGTATAATAAAGTCGTTTTATTTACCTTTGTGATGGTAGTTGATGGCTTGATGGAATGGAGTGGGAGGAGGAGGGAGGGAGGGAGTTACTGTTTGGAAGGAGAGTCACCTTCCATAAGGACTGCAGGTAACTCAACCTCCGGTGTGGCTTCTCTTCTTTGCTTCTTAGAAGGAGACTCTTTATCCTTTCCATCTTAAGGATGGTAGCAATGGTAGACTTAGCGTACTGGTATTGGGACGCTAAGTCACACAAACGCACACCTCGTCCGTGTTTTTCAATGATCTCCTTCTTCTGCTCGATCGTAATTTTCTTTAATGTCTTCTTAGGCTTAACACGAGCCTGTGGTGGGGTCCTTTCGGTCCCATAATAGCAAAAGTACACTCAATATGGTCCAAAATGTCTGTCAAACACAAACCACGTCTGCACTCAAAGAAAGGGGGGTGACGAACTGGGACGCCGTGAGCGTGCGTCAGCTTCTCGTGGCCGCCACCGTGGCGCTGTTCGACCGCGTGGTTTGGTTCGTCCGCCGAAAACTAGTTCGTCAGGAGAGACTATATGCTCGCGAATTTAATGTTCTTGAGGCGAAAAGTTCGTGAGCTTAAGCGTTCGTAAGCGGAGGTATCACTGTATATGCAAAGCATGCTACTTATGATTCTTCCTGTCTAATTCGGTTCTTATCATCCACTTCCTCAAAATCTCTTATATGGATACATTAATGCATATAAGTCAGTTTTTTTCCACTTCAGAATCTTGCTTCCAAGCCGGGTTTCCACCAAATGTTGATTTTGTTGTACAGTGGATACTGTTGTAGACACGCTGGGATCTGTGAATGCCTTCTTGTGTGTTTCAATGCAATAAATTGAATAGTAAATATTGTACTTGCCTGTGGGCAAACTTTCCAATAAAACAATCGGAGTAGACATTCAGCTCACTGGGTGTTTGAAGACGGTATGGTTCTGGGTATATAATGTGGAAAATCCAGCATGATTTCCACCTTACCTTACCAGTCCCCCAGTTTGGAGCGTTTCCTACCTTCTGAGGGGATATTATAGTTCCATATTGTTTTCTGCAGCAAACTGTAGAGCTTGTTGGCAACAATACTGTGCTGCTGACACATTTTGCTCCTTTGAATGCTTGCCACAAAGGCCACATCGCCACAACCGAACAACTAATTGCAAAATGCTGCTGACATCCTCAACATGGGAGATCCACCTTACCATAAAGTTGGTCGGGTTCTGTTAAAAGAGGTTAGACACTGTCTTACTTAAAGCACACATAGGACTCAGATAAACCATTAATCTTGCATGGTAACCACATCACAAATGTGCTTTAAAAAAAACAAAACAAGGAAAACCTCGTATACAATAACAGAAACAACATTAATTCCAGATTAAGATGAAAATATTGAATCGTTTAACAATTTATTATGTCTGTGCTGGAATTGTTCATGATTATTACTAAGCAGCAACAGTCCATAACACACATCACATCCAGTATAAAACTCTTCCGAGCAAGGTAAAACTACATGTTGTCGATTGACTAATATTGAAGTGTTGTGTGCCCCATACACATAAAAATCATACCTGATGTGACACTGCTCTCAATCTTTAAGTGGCACCCAGTGAATTTTCTCCGCTGGTTTGCTGTTGGAACACAAGCACAAAGTTCAATGTTCGTGTTGCTCAATTTTTTGGCTTTTTGTCCACAAACTGAGAGGAGCACATATAGGTTTGGTAGTCATTTTCGGCATAATCTTGTGTTCCTCATCCCCAGGTAGGTGCCGAGAACTGGACCGATTATCACATACAACCTTCTCTGCTCGTCCGGGGTGCATCTTCAAAACATAGCCCTTGAAGTCAGACTGTACTTCTTCTGGTTGTTAGTACAACCAGCTACAAGTTCCCAAGCCGCGCAACACATTTTTGAATGTCACAGGGACTTATTGTCGTTTTGAATAGGAGATCAAATGTTCAAATATGCCACTCTGTGAAACGAAAGCCATTGGAACCAACAGCTTACTGCTACTTGTAGCCGCTCCCATAATCGTTTCTACACGGGAGCTCCCAGGAATAAGGTGGATCGACTGCAGTCTACAGTGATGCTGTAAAAAGGCATATTGCATGTCAGTGATCCCCCATACCAGGTCTCACGTAAATACATATTTAAAAATCTGCCTATTTAAAAATAAATAAACAAAAAAAAGATGAAATATACAACCCATTCTGCGCCTCTTTCTCTCCAACAAGCTTGTCCCTTCTTTGGATCATCTTAACCCTTTCATGCACCCTGTAACCTGATAGCATGATAAGCTGTTCACTGTGTAACCGCTGTCCCCAAAAAAAAAAACCTCTATCGGCTTGTCTCGCTTATCTTTTAATGACGGGTGCATGTGCCGAGGCTGTTTTGATGGGGTCATTGCTTCATTTGCGAGGCTGCCACGACGTTTTACGCAGAGGAGGCTGCGAGTGCAAATCAAGTAGCAATAAAAACGAACCTGAAGTAGAACTGCACATGTTGAATGTTGAAGGCTCGTTTTCTGTCTGATTATTTGGCCTGTACCCCTTTTTGAAGAAGCTCTCAAAACACATTTCCCGCTGGCCTCCCACCCCATATTTTTGCTGGCTTGCATGATGGATGTCATCGTATTTCATTTATAAATATGACAGCAGCATGCATTGTACCCTCTGAATTATTGTATAAATCAGTTCATCCATCCATCCATCCATCCATTTCTGATTCGCTTACCCTCATAAGGGTCGCAGGGCATGCTGGAACCCTTCCCAGCTGTCTTCGGGCTGTAGGCGGGTTAGACCCTGAACCGGTTGCCAGCCAATCGCATGGCACACAGAGACGAACAACCATCCACGCTCACAATCACACCGAGGGACAATTTCAAGTGTTCCATTAACCTGTGACACATGTTTTTGGAATGGAAAGCGGAGTACCCGGAGAAAACCCACGCAGGCACAGGGAGAACATGCAAACTCCACACAGGAAGGGCAGAGCCAGAATCGTACCCTGCACCTCTGCACTGTGAGGCAGATGTGCTAACCAGTTGACCACCGGGCCCACCAAGTTCATTCAATGAATCATTATTATTATTTTTATTATTATTGTCTCCCATGGCTGCTACTGTGGGAGGTGTGGGCAAGGGAGTGTATGTCACACACGAACACACGGCAGTCACCAAGTGCCGACTTCAAAGCAGCCACCTCTACATCATCCGCACGTGAAGATGTTCTTAAAAACATACTTTGCAAATGTTGATCTCCTGCACGGACTCCAGTGAGTCAGTTTCTGCCTCCTTCATGTCAAAGACCCTGTATGCCTCTCCTGCACTGAATTTTAAGGGAATGAGAGGAGCCGCTTCCACTGGCCGAGAACCAAGTTGGCTGTGTTCACTCCCACAATGGGGCAAGCGCCCGTTTCTAACTATGCATCTATGAAAATCCCAAAAGAAAGAAAACTCCACCCATGCGCGGATGTAGACTGTGATTTGTGCTAGATTTGCACTCGCGACAAAAATAGGGCCCCAGGAGTCAGCAAGGCAAGAAATCAAGAGATGGCGAGTGAGCTCCATAAATCATAATTCAGGAGCTGCTCGGACCAAGTCTAAAAGACTGAACTTCAATTTATAGCCAACCCAAGAAACAGACTTTTTGAAGAGATTTTTCTTTCTATTACTGTCATGTCAACGGTTAATGGCTCAGTTCGTCACTACGGTTGATACTTGCTTTTAGTTTGGATTGTGTGTTGCTTATTTTGTTGGCGGTTCTGTCACACGGTCTTCTTTTATGTGTTTGCTTCATTGTAGGATCATAATGCCAAGGAAAAAGCACTACAGAGCATCTCATCCATGTCCTCTTCTCAGATCGTTTCAGCCACTGCCATACACAGCAAGCTGCTGCCAGGAATCGTGCGGGCCAACTTTTCCGGAAGCACACAGGTAACACGTGCTGGCGTACACTCATCCTTCCCAAAACATAAAATACATCTGAATTAAAGTCATGAAAAGCAACAGTTTTTTTTTAGTTTTTCATCAAAACAGGTTCCACAAAAAAAATTCCACACTCAAAAATGTACAATTTTTATGTATTTTCTTTGATGCTTGGTTCTTATATGTCATGAGTACTGTGACTCAAAACATCTCTTTATAATAAATAATCAAACCACACATTTTCAAATCATTCCCATAATTATTCCACAGATTTACACTTTTAACAGAGTATGTACATGAGTTCCCTTCATGTTTAACTTATCTCTGTACAGTATACGAACTATTTTGCTTTTTCTGTATTTGCTTTATATGTATTTCCCCAAAACTCAATACCATATGTCATATATGGATGTAACAGCGACCTCTTAATTATGTATACAGGTAATGCTTTGGTGTTCAAAACTGTTAAGGTTTGGATGTGACCCCAATAGCACGACAACAGGCAGGTAGAGTTGAAGCCAACACTGGGCGTAGTTTATTAAAGAGTCTTAACAAAGTCACTCAGAAGGAAGCACGAAGAAGCCACAGGGAAAATGTCCACAGGAAACAAAACCCTCACTCAGGGAGAAAACTGGGACTTACTGAAACGCTCAGGGGGAAGCACGAGGAGTCCACAAGGGAATGTCCACACATGGAACAAGAAAACTGCAGGTGATGCCAACAGAGCTCACTGAGGTGGTGACGGCACTAACTTGCACTGAGGAATGGTTTGTGAGCCAATTTATACCAGTCCAAACGAGCAGATTGGCAACAGGTGGGTGATGAGCTGACGAGTATCAGGTGTGAGATCCAGAGCACCCTGGTTGAGGAGGCTGCCTGGCTGGCATCTCTCTAACACAAAACATTCTTAATTTTACAAACAATAGCTATAACTTCATTTTTTTAATGTTATTTACTTGTTCCATTTCAATCGAATGTCCCTTGATTAGAACGTGTTTTTTTTTTTTTTTCAGTACCCGAGGTAGTTTTGTTTAAAATTAGCAGTAAATTATTGCACAGGTGTCAAACTCCAATCTTTGAGGGCAACTATCCTGGAAGTTTTAAGGCCTCTTTCGCACCACTCACACGTCAGTGGTCAGGAAGTTTGTATGCACCATTGGCCTCGTGTAGAACGCACCGTCGTAAAGTCAGATCCGTTGTCTGGGTCTCTGGGGGGCATTTTCGGCTGATTCAGGTCGGGCTATCGAGACAAACGATCCCTCTGATTGGCTGTTACCTAGCAAATCAGTGCACGAGATGAGAGCAGAAGTGACAAACGCAAAGAGCGAAGAAGACATTGAGAAAGAAGACATGGACAGGTTTTGTGCATTTTGTACTTTATTACATCTCAGGGCACGCATGTTGTTCACATGGCCAAAAGTACGGAATTCATGAGCATGATTCAGGACAGGCCACCCTTGTATTTACATCAGGAGAGATTGATTAATACTTGAACATCTCAGGGTATACTTATTGCCCCCCAGATTGGTGCCTGTACATCTGGTTTCACCCTGGTAGATGAGAGGGTAGCCTCCTTCCACCTTCAGATGGAGAGATGGGTCCTCACTGTTGTTTGTGTGTAGGCACCAAACTTTTTCTGAAGACATTGGAGAGGTTGCTGGAGAGAGCTCCCTCCGGGTACTCCCTCGTACTGCTGGGGGACTTCAGTGCTCATGTGTGCAATGACAGTAAGACCTATAAGGGCGCGGTTGGGAGGAACTGCACACTGCCCCAATCAGTTCCCGAGCGATGTTCTGTTATTGAACTTCTGTGCTCATCGTGGCATATTCATAAGGGTGTCCACTTGGCACCAGGACACCCTAAGCCACAGTTCAATGATCGACTTTGTGGTCAAGTCATCGGACTTGCGGCCACATGTCTTGGACATTCAGGTGATGAGGGGGCCAGAGCTGTCAACCAACCACCATCTGGTGAGGTGTTGGCTCCGATGGTGGGGGCAGATGCCAGTCCAACCTGGCAGACTCAAACGTGCGGTGACTGGTAATCGTGTACTGGAAATATTTGGCAGAGTCCCCTGTTTGAAGGAGTTTCAGCTCACACTTCCGGCAGAACTTTGCTCACGTCCCGGGGGAGGCGGGGGGAAATTGAGTCACACTGAACCATGCTCCGTGCCTCCATTGTTGAGGCGGCCGACCAGAGCTGTGGCCGTAAGTTGATCAGTGACTGTCATGGCGGCAACCCTCGAGCCTGTTGGTGGACACCAGCGGTGAGATTTTCCCTCAAGCAGAAGAAGTCCTTTCGGGCCTTTTTGGCCTGCGGGAATCCTGAGGCAGCTGATGGTGTACTGGCTGGCCGAATGGAACGTAGCTTTTGTTGGTGTCTCAGGGGAGAAAGCAGTGCCCCATCGACACTGCATAGTGGGGATGGGGCAATGCTGACTTCGACTCGGGATGTTTTGAATCAGTGGGGAGAAGACTTATGAAGGCCTCTCAATTCCAGAAAATTGCTTTCCCTTGGGGTTTCTGAGGCAGGCTTTCCTTGCTCTGGGGTTGAGGTCACCGAGGTTGTTAAAAAGCTCCTGAGTGTTCGATACTAACTTGTGGAGTGGAAAAACTCCACAAGTTAGTGGCACCACACAAGATTCGATCGCACCTTTTAGAAAAAAAAAATCTATTTTATGGTTATTTCCTGGCTCAGAGATTCGTTTTGCTCAGTTTTAACCAATATAGACAAAGAAATTATGATATTCATTCGCGGTACAGTGATCCCTCGCTATTTCGCGGTTCGTTTATCGCAGATTCGGTGCATCGCGGATTTTTTCAAACATATTCATAAAAAAAAATATATATATATATATATAACCTATGGTTATAGTTTTAATTAATAACGTTACATTTTATTATGTGCCCAGGGTAAGTAAAGTGTAATTTTGCATAAATTAATGAATCAATTCAAAGATCATAGATTTGCCGGCATGATTTTATGAATGTCGTTAATTGTCTTTTTAAGAGTCCCACAATATCCATTTTGTAGAAGAAAAAAAAACTTGGATCACTGAGTAAATTGAGGCGCATTCATGACCATGTTCCAAATGGCCCAAAGGTATCTCCGCCATACAGACTTTTTTTGATTTCCCGAGCCCCTTTTTGGGTGTCCGTCTGGGTGTTTTGCGTGTAACCGGAGGACACACCGTAAATTCCGAATTACAAGCAGCTACTTTTTTTCCACACTTTCAACACTGCGGCATGTAATATGAAGCGGCTTTTTAATTTTTTTTTTCCATCGCGGGAAAAACATGAACCAATAAAATGAATGAGTCTTTCACTGAGGTCCAATGAGATTGTATGACTAATCACAACTTCCGCTCTTTTTGCCGTAGCGGGGGGGGGATGTGTTACCCTGCAGTATTTCTCCTCGTAATTATGCAAATGCCCATCAAGATCTCTCTTTGTCTGGCCTCTTATTATGTGTTTCAACATAATTTCGTTGTGCAAATGCATTTATCATGCTCATAAAAATATGGAAATTATTTTAACCTTAAGAAATGTTACGTTTTTTTTTCTGCGGGGGTTCAGCGGGGGACCGCGTCAGCGGCCTCACCGGAGGCGCTCCCGGCGGCACGGGAG